CTTTCTCTCTTCTCTCTCTTTCTCTTTCTCCCCCGCCCTCTCTCTCTCTCTTTCTCTCGCTTTTCTCGCTCTCTCTCTTTCTTTCTCTCGCCTTCGCTTTCTCTCTCTCTCTCTCTCTCTCTCTCTCTCTCGCTCCCTATTTGCTATGTTAGGGACCTCCAGCTCCACTTCAAACACTGCATTAAACGTTTAACTTTCAAATTTTAAAAATATACTTCAAACGCTGCGCTATGGCGACCTCGTCCTTTTCGGTTCAACACATACGGGAATGTGTCGGCATATCGATAATTGTAGGGTTTTTTTAACGCCGAATGTGGTCTTCACATCATAAGAGCGTCTTCTGGGTTGTGTAAATTTGGTTGGTAGCCTACGCCCTGTGTGGCGTTTAATGTATACAGTTCAACCTGCCTTAGCTAAGTTAGCTGTTATCTCTATAGAACGGATACCTTTCTATATAAGTCACTTTTGTCGTCTCCCTCGAGTGGCAGTTATATACAGTGAAACCATCTCTATAGATCGGTCACCTGGCTATATCGGCCACTGTTGGGGTTTTCCTCGATTGAGCCATATGCGGGGTTGACTGTATATATCGGAAGCATCACCGGTTGGAAAGTATTCATGTTGTTGACAATAGTTTAATACGGTTTGCAATAGAAAGTAAAGTAGATTTGCGTCCTTGCCTTTTAAACTGATGCATATAGTATAGGATTATATGCGTATCGTGTGATGTGACAATGTTTATCGATAAGTGCTGTTGACTCATCACCACTTTACTGTGCATATATGCTCCGCGCGCGTGTGTGTGTAAATGACGAACATGATAAGTGTTTGCGAACGTCCACGTAACTAGAGACATTGATTTTACCTTGTGTGTGTAGCTGTGTTTGTGCGTGCGTATGTGGGCGCGAGTGTGTGTGCGCGCGCGCGTGTGTGTGTCTGTGCGTGCGTGCGTGCGCGCATCCGTTCGTGTGTGCGTGGTTGATTGAGTGAAGCAAACAAGGGATAGCATATGCAAATGTTTTGGCATGCTGAGAATGTTTATCGGGCGTTAGTATACACACAACGGGTACGATATTCAGGATGCAACCCAGTGCCGCGCGACTGCGCTATCTGTCGCACAACATATACGGCAACTGTAAACTTCCTCTGTTTTAACGTTTGTACGCTAGACGGACAGAGGCAGCCACGCGTAAATATCCGTCATGTGTATGCACGTAGCGTGCTGTCTTACGTAGTAGAGGTATGATTCACTTGAGATGGTAGCGGATCAGATCGAAGTCTGCTGGTGAAGACGGTGGATGTAGTTGTAATACGTGCATTTATGTGAGCTAGGACATTGCTGAGTGTTATAAGTGCGAGGTGGTGGCTGGTGGTCTTTGCCGAAGTCTGTGAGTGTGCGGCTGATTAAATATATGGAGGCGTTTCTGCAGCAACAGGAGGAGGTATCACGTTTTGTCGTAACGACGATGTTTGCAGCTCATAACTTATAAGCTCGTCAGATGTTGAATTTCTAGGATGAGTGTCGTGTGCGCGCGTGCGTGCGTGGTTGCGTGTATAAAGGTCTTCTTCACTGTAGGTTGAGCGATAGTCGCATTACTATCACAGTGTGGAGGTTGTGTATTGCGTGACACAGTTATACGGTGTCAAAGTTGGGTTTGGGATGTCGCAGTGGCGTATACTGGTTGACACGGTGCCAGCATTATGTGTCACAGTGGCAGTGTAAACGTCATATACTGGGTGACACGGTGGCAGTATGATGTGCTTACGACCTACAACAACATACAGCAGCTTACTACATATTGCAACAATCAAACTTCACAGCAGCAACCAATTACTTGCAGACTGCCATGTTCAACAAGCGGGAGCTCTTCTTTCTTCCTACCAGCTGCCGTAACTACAACAACATACATCAAGTTGCAACATATTACAACAGCTTACAACATATTACAACAAGCAGACCTAGCAACAACAACCATCTACCTCTCTTGCAGACTGCCATGTCTAACAAGCGAGAGCTGTTACCCCTACCCGCTGCCTTAACTACAACAACATACAACACGTTACAACATATTACAACAATCAGACCTAACAACAACAACAACTATCTACCTCTCTTGCAGACTGCCACGTCCAACAAGCGGGAGCTGTTCTTCCGCTCGGACGGCAGCAAGCACAGCGTCGAGAATGGCATCAGCACGATGAGGAAGGAGGACCGTGACATGCGCGAGCGCGAGAAGAAGGAGGAACCGTCGGCGGCGGCGATGCAGCGCAGCAACAAGAGCGTCGACGGCTACGTCGGCTTCGCCAACCTTCCCAACCAGGTGTACCGCAAATCGGTGAAGCGAGGCTTCGAGTTCACGCTGATGGTAGTCGGTGAGTGTCGCCTGTGATCTTGTTATTGTTGTTTATGTTTGTGTAACGTTGTGATATTTGTGGTGGTGGTCGCGTGCGTGGCGTGTGATCCTGTTATTATTTATTATACTTGTGTATCGTTGTTGTGGTGTTTGTGGTGGTGGTGGCGTGAGCGTCGCCTGTGATCATGTTATTATCAAGAGCTAATAAATACCAAGGTGTTTGTTAGCTCTTGTTATTATCTATTGCGATTTTATATCGTTCGTGTCTCGTGGTAGTTAAGACGAGGAGAGACAAATGCAATTGTAATATGAGGTACGTTCACCAACGAGTGGGTTACCTCAAATCCAACCTATATCTCCGAACTGTAAAGGTCATTGTTAGTACCCGACCTTGAAACGTGGCGATAAATGAACGCTAATTATCTGCTTACCGTGTGAATTCTGGTGAAGTCATATACACGGCAGCCATCGATTTAGTTGTGCGAGGGTGCATGAAACACCGCGGGCAAGTTCAATACAAGATTCGAACAAAGGCGCTCTTTCATGGCTCGTACGAAAGTTTCACTTCATCTTGTCGATTCTGAGACATTAGATTATGATAGGACAGCTTCAGGAAGGCACCCTAGATCTCGTTTCTTTTTAGTATAATCCGACTCACTAGTCGAAATCATCTATTTCGTTAAATATCCAACTAATTAAATATTTGGAAAGAATAAGTACGGACTTGTAATTACGCGTGTGTGCAGGAGACGGTAAAAACTCCACTGAACCATCAATGGCATTCTGGCTAGGGTTAACATACAGGGAGTCGAACTAAATTGTTTGTAATCGCCGCCGTGCATTCTGGGCAGGGGGTCACCAGAATCGAGAAAGACACTGCGAAGTTGAGTGCGAACAGTAATATTTTGTGAATATAGCGAGGACATCCGCCATCCTCCTGGGATTTTAAAATGTCCACTTCCAGTCCTGACAAGTCGTGGAACGGAGGTTATATGGAAAGCCCTAGCTGGTAAAAATGCTATTGTCATGTTCGCTCCTCGAATGTCATTGAAATTGAGCACGCGTCCATCTTGTCGATAAAATCTATGCGTAATATTTTTTCCGTATGTGAATGAAGCCTGCTGGTAGTCGGTCTCCCACCCCACACGCATCACCCCCGCACTCTCACACCTTGTAACTTCATACGTTTACGTCACGCCCGTCCGTGAGTGTAGCAGTCGCGCAGCATCGGGGGATGCTGAGCGTGCCTGTGCGAAGCCTGGTTGTTAGTGTCCGCAGCAGAATAAGCTCACCGCTACGATGGTGGCTTTTATGAGATTTATGGGACATAATATGACTTTGATACAGTAGTTGGCTTCCGACGTCGCTGCAAGACAACTTACTTACCGCGGTTACACGCGACCCTTCATGCAAATTCGCTCCCTCCCCACGAAGCTTGCTGCTGCTGCCTCGGTTGTTGTGTGAACGTTTTAGGAATACAGATCCGCTCCTAACCTCGACGCTGCGAACGCTCGAGGAATATAAATCTATCCCTGATTTCGGTGCCGCGTTGGTTACTGTGAACGTTAAAGAAATGCCAGTGCGCTCCAAATTTCGGTGCTGTCTTCGTGACTGTAAAAGTTTGTGGAATGTATATATATAAATATTTAGATATATATATATATATATACTTGGTTTACGTGCTGTTTTGGATATGTTGAACATTTAGAAAATGCGAATGCATCCTGAATCTTGGTCGCTTCTATTCGGAGCGGCTTCGCAATTAAGTCATTCCTCAGATCAATCATCGTGCTGTCTCGGCTACTCTTTGAACTTCTTCGGGGCACACATGAATCGGCAATCCTCCTGCTGTATCGGGCTTGAACATCTCGACCGACAGATGTGTCATCAATCATATCTGCTGCACTCGATTAACGAGCGCGGTTTCAACTAACTCCACGCGGTACGTGATGCACTGTTACGAATAGCGCGCGCCGCGCCGTGGGCGGGTTATTAGCATGATCACATATTTTCGAAAATAAATTTTAAGCTTTTGCGAATCATATTTCATGTGGATTAGCAAAAGTGCGAATCGATCGTCTTGTTGCCGTAAATTGGAATTAATTTTCTTTTTCACTGACCTTTAATTTACTCTGCATGTGTAGCCCGACATACACACGCACGCACACGCACAGCCATGCAACCTTTTTTAACATTAAGCTTCCACATGTGTTGGCAACAGTGAAGGGCTGGCTACTACATTAGGTAGAGCTATATGTCTGGCAAGATCGGCAGCGCTAGTATATGGCTGTCTTGTGTGCGCTGGACGGATGGAGCTTCTTAATAATTGACGATGCGCTCGGATGGAGCACTAATGGGCGGCTGCGTGAACGCCGCCTGTTACGGCACGGCCAGTAACGACAGGCAATGATCGGCTGCTGTGTGCGTGCGTGCGTGCGTCCGTCCGTCCGTCACCGCAGGATGTATGTGTTCCGCTTACGTCACCGCCTCACTGACCCGTTCCCCATTACGAGGTATCGTGTGAAGCGAGACCATCCTTGCCCAATCGTTTGTTGTTGTTGTTGTTTGTTAAATTGCGAGCATTTTCTGAATTTGAAATGTTAGCGTGCAAGATTATAAAACAAATGATATCGACCGCATTGTATTGCACGATAATTATAATATCAGGAGTCTATCAATATATATATAGGCTATATTGATAGACTCCTGATAATATTCTATACTTGGCTCTACCGTTATGCACGTGCGAGCGTGCGTGCGTGCGTGCGTGTGTGTGTCCGTGCGTGCGTGCGTGCGTGCGTGCGCGCGTGCGCGCGCGGTGTGTTTGGATTGATACACGCGGTACTACTAAGCGTACACGTTGTTGTAGACAATGACCTTTTGCTGACACCTGATACTCAGTGCGTGTTGTGGTTGGCGACGGATTAGGATAGGAGGTTGAACCTATACAAGATCCATTTTTCTACACTCGTGCAAAAGAGCAAGAGGCACTGCTTAAGGACTTTGGTTTGTGCTTTTACCCCGCATGTTTAAACAGCGCTGATCTACTGAGATGCCTGCAACTTTCTATGACAACGTATTGTATGTTTGACATGGCCCAAAACTTCACTATTGAATGAATTTCCTAGTCTTTACTCTGAACGTGCATCTGTAAGTCGATGTTAACCAGTAAACCTTCGCGTGTGTGGTTGCACACGTATATCACTATGCGTGTGCGTGCGTGCGTGCGTGCGTGCGTGCGTGCCTTGTGCGTGCGTGCGTGTGTGTGATTGAGGTGGTGTGCAAGTACGTGCCTTAACGCAGGGACGTTCGTGGATGCAGTCAATGACATTTCCGTGCTGCCTATTGTCTATCGCACCGTCATCATCATGCACGAATTCTATGCACACACGATGGTAATCGACCCACAGTCTATAGGTACAGGCAGCATAAGCAGACACGTGAGGGCAACGTTATTGGCCAACTCGTAATTATGGTTAACGACAGGAATATATAGCAGGTGCTCGTCATTGCGTATCGTGGGAGAGGTATATGTCCCGGCCTGCTCGTCGTGTGTGCGCGCGTGCGTGCGTGCGCGCGCGCGCGACCTCCTCAGGCTGCCCCCTCTCCTCCGTCCCGGCTCCTCTCCTAACCTCCCTCACTGCCCTCGTCTCCTACACGTACCGGTCCTCTCTAAACCTCTCAGCTGCCCTCCTTCACCTCCAGTATCTCTCTCTATAACCCGCTCAGCTGCCCTCTCGTCCTCACGCAGTACCAGTCCTCTCTAACCCTCATCAGGGCTGCCGGCTCTCTCCTACAAGTACCTCCTCTCTAGACCTTCAATCAGCTGCCCTCCTCCTCCATATCTCCTCTCTAGACACTTCATCAGCTGCCCGTCTCTCCTCCAAGTATCTCCTCTCTAACCTCCTCAGCTGCCCTCTCCTCCTCCAGTACCGTCCTCTCTAAACCTCATCAAGGGCTGCCACTCTGCCTCCCTCAGTATCTTCCTCTCTAATACCGTCCTCAGCTGCCCTACACTCTCCTCGCAGTAACCCCTCTCTAACCTAACCTCCTTCAGCTGCCGCTCTCTCACTCCAGTAGCCTCCTCTGCTAACCTCATCAGCATGCCCTCTCTTCCTCCAGTATCTCCCTCTCTACACCTCCTCAGCTGCCGCTCTCTCCTGCCAGTACCTCCTGCCTCTCTTATAACCCTCTCAGCTGCGCCGCTCGTCTCCTACACGTACCGTTCCTCTCTAAACCGTCATCTCAGCTGCCCTCTCTCCTCCAGTACTCCTCTCTACACCTCACAGCTGCCCTCGTTCTCTTCTCCTCCCCCGTAACCTCCTCGTCAACCGGTCCTCCAGGCTGCCCTCGTCTCGCTAGCAGTACCTCCTCTCTAACCTCATCAGCTGCCCTCTTCTCCTCCAGTAATCTCCTCGTTCTAACCGTCCTCAGCTGCCCTGCTCTCCTCCCAGTAACGTCTCTCTATCACCTCCATCCAGCTGGCCGGCTCTCTTCTCGCTACAGTACCTCGCTCTCTAACCTCATCAGGCTGCCCTGCTCTCCTCCAGTATCTCCTCTCTAAACGCTTCTCACTAGCCCCTGCCCTCTCTTCCCCACAGTGTCCATGTCCTACCTCCCTCGTTCCTCCCTTCCCCACGCCACCGGCCGCCTTCCTTCGCTCTCTGCGCGTCCTCTCCCCAAGCAGTGCCCTGCCGGCTACCGTCCTCAGCTGCCCCCTCTCCTCTAGCGCCCGCATGCCCATGTCCACCTCCCTCGTCGCCTCCCTCCCCAGCGGCCACCGGCGCCTTCTCTTCTGCCTCCTCTCCTCCGCTACATTCACTTTCGGCGACTCTTACTCTCTCCTCTGATGGCTCACAAAAAGCTTCTCACACAGCGCAACTATCGATGTATTGCTGCTGTACGTAGTAATTAGGCGTGTAGGGAGCCGCTTTAACGGCGTGTGCGCGGGGTTGTTTTTGACTACTCGGAAGGAACGACTGGTAGATAAACAGCTTCAGTATTTTAAAATACATCGCT